GGGGGGGGTCAAGTGAAGGTAAGTAAGGGTGAGTGCGGTCAAGAGGGGGCTGGCTGGGTACTTCTTTCGCTGTCTTAAACTTTGAAGACGTAAATTACGGTGTGAATGTTGTTTCGAGATGGCCTGAGTGTGGAAATTATTTAGATGTTAGATCCCTCCCACCTTTCACCCCCTTTTTTTCAAAATCCTCCTCCCCTCATCCTACTCTATTCCCACCTCCCTGGCCCCTGACACAGAACAAGACACATCTGTTGAGGCAACAAGCAGGGAGATAACTCTGTTTGACCTTACCGCTGACACAAACAAGAGCACAAACCGGGACTTTTGGATACACCCTAATTTGTCGATATCGCCTGGGTGAATGCAAAACTATGGTATACAGCAGAACCTGTTCGAGTCGAGGACTCACTGTCGGGGAGAAAAATTGTCATCTTAGACATATTTAGGTCCTTTTGCATACACCCTAATTTGTCGATACCGCTCGGTTGAATGCAAAACTAGGGTAGATCTATACAGTTATACAGTATACAGTAGAACCTGTTCAAGACGAGGACTCACTGTCGGGGAGAAAAATTGTCATCTTAGACATACTTAGGTCCTTTTGGATATACTATTATATTCTTAAAAATACGAGGGAAAAGTGGAAAGAGGTTGTTTGGATAGGTGATTTGTCTTAAACAGGTGGTTGTCCGATCAGGTTCGACTATAATAATATTTAGACCGAGTAAAACGTAAAAGCAGCCCTGCAACTTTAAATCCACATTTCTTTGTAATAAAGTTTTTTGTGAGTTTTTACATTGAAAACAATACTTATAATAATTCCTTTATTTTACAAAAGTTTTGTTTAATCGTAAATACTAAACAAATGTAAAAAAAACCAACCTATACACATAAGCAATATAAGTTACACAATTAACCATGTCAACGATTCCCTGCAATACTGACTTACCCCGAATTGAATTTATTGAATATATAAATGACAGACAGCTGATTGTGCTAAGGATAATGCTATGTCTTAAAACCAAGTTTTTGATTCCCTGAAATAATATCGTCTTACATGGAATGATTGAATTTATTCAGTCTTCAAATGACAGACACGCTGATTTTACTGGGGATATGTCCTTAAAACCAAGTTTTGGCGTGTGAATCAGGCAGGGCCGGCGAACGTTGTAACACAACGACACAAACTCTCCTATCAAACAGATTAGTCGGGGTAACGGTAATCGTGTAGGTACGAGTCGGTGGGCCAAACACGAACCAAAACTCGCATGCACTGCTGCTGATCTGGGAGGGGGCATTACGCGGGTCTGGTGATTTGGTGCTGATAGACGGGAGTAGCAAAGGTGGTGTGAAAGATGGGAGAATGTTGAGAGAGACAGAGAGAGAGAGAGAGAGAGAGAGAGGG